TACAGAGAATAGGATCTTTAGGATCAAAGGTGACATGGAATTTTATTCAAAAGCCTGGTTCTTTGTTTCACCGTGTCATGGAGAGTAAGTATGGGAATAATGTAATGAATGGAGTTCACAGGAATATCAGCTCAAATGCTTGGAGAATCCTACTAGATGGCGGAAAGAATTTGAAGATGGTTGTTCGATGGAAGGTGGGGAAAGGAGATAAAATCAGCATCCTAAATGACACTTGGGTGCTTGATAGATGCTTAAGTCGCTAGCCTACTTTTGTGGAGAGTGATTTCCTGGAAGGTATGAATGTGCAGCAATTGATTCTTGATAATGGTAGGTGGAATTATGATCTGTTACAGAGAGCATTTCACTCTCACTTAGTCTCTGTAATCACTAAAATTCCTATTGAGTATAATGAGGAGGATCGCATGGAGCTGCTGAAGTTTGGTTCGGGAAAAATAATGTCTGCTATGGTTTATGAACAAATGTGGCTCAACAGTTGCAATATGGAAGACGTGGAGTACTTAAGATGGGTGAAGAAATTGAAGCTGAGCAAGAATATTGAATTGTTTTGGTGGAGACTTGGAAAATCAGCCATACCAACCAATATATTCCTAATGAATCGTAAAATTTCAGATTATGGTCTTTGTCCTAGAGGTTGCCAAGTTGATGAAACGTATGAACACATTATGGTGAAATGCAAATATTTGGTTGATATAATTCTGAAGTTGAGGGAATGGGGAATTTCTATTCCTAATTTTCATTCGCTGGATTGTTGCTTGGAGAACTTAAGGAAGTTGTCTGTTAAGAATCCTGGGATTGTTCGACTGTATTGCTCTGTGGTTTACTATTCTTGGAGAAGTCGTAATGATATTAAACATGGTAAGAATGCTGTACCGTGTTCTATTATTGCTGCTAATGCTCTGTTTTATGCTGTCTCCAAATCTAGTCCATTTCTTTCTTGCTGGGGTACTAATCTCCCTAGGGAGTCCCAAAGAACTTGGTACCCTCCACTGAAAGAATGGATCAAGGTAAATGTAGATGCATCCTTGACAAGTTCTAATTTGACTGGTATTGGAGGAATCTTCCGGGACTACAAAGGAAGATTTATTAGTGCTTTTGGAAAAAATGGAGTGCATTGGGATATTGGCCATCTTGAATTACAAGCAGTCCTCATGGTTAGAGAATTTTTAAAGAACTGGATGCTGGAATGTAAAGGGTTGATCATAGAAAGTGATAATGTGAATATCATCAAATTCATTCAGAATTCTTTGAAGGATAATAAGGAGAATGTGGGTAAGTGGCCACATAGGAATTTATGTTTTTTACATGATTTTAATAAGGTTGTCTTTCTCCATGCCACTAGGAATTGTAATAGAGTAGCAAATTGTTGTGCTACTATGGCTTTGGAGAATAGTTTTTTCTTTGATAGTTCTTCTTTTGATCATATTCCTTCCTTGTTGCTAGGCTTAATCAAGGAAGAATGTGATCCCCTTGTTACTTGTACATAGCTTCTTTTTTGGTTTTAATGCTATTTGATGCATTTCTTTCAATAAAAAAAAAACAATATTATTGGTTTTAACTAAGCAATAGTCATCATCATTAAATGCATGAAGAGTACCAAATCCAACACATACTTCAAATGTATATTTATAATATTTAGTGTTTCAGATGTTCTCGAACTGTTGTGCTTCATCTCTAGTCTATGTTAGCAATGTGAAACCTTTTTTTAGCAAATTATTTTTAGACATTTAAAGTACCCATCAAAAGGTTTTTCTATTATTTTATTTAGAAAAGGATAATTAAGGTTTAAATTAGTTTTTATAATTTTGCTGGTGGAAGGTATAAAGGTAATGGCTTTATAGTCTAGATTCAGAGCAAGAGAGACCTTAATTACCAACCCAACTATATCATTTTATTATAATGAATTTAGAGTCACACTCTTTACGTACTTCTTTAATCTATCAAAGGTAGTCATTTACATATTTTCTTCTTAAGTGATCGAGACCCGATCCTCATCATTGTCTGCTCTTAAAGAAATTTCAACTTTTCCTATTCATTAATATTCCTATACTCTATAGCTTTTTTCTTTTTCTCAAATACATAAGACTCTTCTTTCTAACTAGATTCCAAATTAATATGTATTACTCGAGCCTTTTTTCATACTGACTCTTTTACATTTCTTTTTTTTTTCATTTTTCTACTTTCTACCTCTCCCTGTAGACTGATGAGTTGTTCTACCATCTTTTTGTGATGAGGGGCAGGACAATAATGAACATCATATTTGAGGTTACAATACTTTAATGTTTTTTTTTAATACTATTTGATTCTCTAATTCTTCTTCTTTATTTTTTTCTTCTAGTTTGAAGTTTCTTGAGATGAATGTATACTTTTTAAGAAGATAAAATGAAGTATATTTATATATTCTTACTTCATGAATTGAAAATGGTTCAAATATCTCTTTATATAGTGTTTAACCCCCTTATGAGAGTATTTAGCACATTGATGAAGAGAGGAAGGCACCATTCTATATTTGAGGAGCCAATGTCCACCCAATAGTGCATTAAAGGAAGCCTCTAAATCTATTATATAAATTTAGCTTCAACTTTTAGTCCATCTATTTATAAGAGCAGTGTTAATAATAAATGTAAAAAATTAATTATTTTAAATATAATATTTTTAGTGATAATGTGTTATTTTAGTTGTATTGTGCAAGAAAAATATAAAAAAGGTATAGAATTTGAGGGTTCATATAGCACCGCAGCATTAGAACTAACAAAAGTGCCATCAATGACACCACCGAAGTGCCAGAATATTGATATTGAAGTGGAAACTTGTCTTTTGAAAAGTGTTGCAATGTCAAAAGTTCAACTTCGCACTTTATAACACCATGGTGCCCAAATTAATCTTCTGATGTTGTAGCATTTGAAAGTCATCAGCGCTAGGGTGTCGGAGTTGTAACTTCTGAAGGACACGATCTGTCAGTGAAATAATGAATGTTTACTAAGTAACTAATTCACATTAGCAAGCACCATGGTGGAACCAAAAAAGCAATACAAGGACATTTATTCATTTGTTAGGTCTAGTGGTGTTGATCTTTCTAGCAACTTAGTGGCATATGCCTACTTTTTTGTTTTCTTTTAAATAGTCATTGTGCTATGTTAGTAGAAGAGATTAGTCACTTAAATAATTTTAGTATCATTTAGAGTGCTTCTCTAAATTTCCCTTTGGGTGATAACTAAAAAAATTTAGAGAAGTACTTGATACCATCATTAGAGTGTTTGACTTGTGTTTGTGAAAGAAAATTTGTAAGTAAATATGAGTGTAGAAGAGATCCATTGAACCAGTCTGATGATATCTATCTCTTATATCTTCTTACTATCATTCTATTAATGAAAATAAGTTTGCTTCAATTCTAGTGCATGTCTGGCTAAACTCTCTAGTTTTGGATTGATGATATAAATATCATATGTAGTACTAATGAGTTCTCTTATTCCTCAAATGATGAAAAATATAGTTTTAGTATTACCAAATCTTAAATTAATGCCCATAGTCACCATATGCATAGTTATAATTAGGTGTAATATGGGGCCTCGACGGAGGAAAGTATGCATAATAAGGAATATTGAATTAGTATGCATCATGCCAAGGCATAGGGCTTGAAATGTACTAAATTATTAAGGAGATGATATAACCATGATAATTTAGTCGACATCCTTTGTTCCTACAAGCTTGACAGATATCTATGAATTCCTATGATCTAAATATCATCACAATTAAAAGAGAATCAATATGAGAATTATGTTATTTATACTCATCAATCAAAAACATTATCTCCATATAGTGTATTCATTATATTTATCTAAATTAATTTAAGTGATTGAATATCTACAACATCTAATTTTATCGAGTAGGATAATTGTTATAATTTTAGTAGATGGTACTAGTGCTTGTAAGTGAGCATATCTTTTTCGTCGGATCGATACTCAACTCTATCAATATTGTTTTGGCAAAATTTTTGATATTTCATTAAGAAAATCTGATCTTATTTAAGCATATTTTATTTAAATAAGATCCTACTGCCTACCACAAATTAATTTTACTCTATCATTATATTACATGATTTATCATGTATACTTGTGAATATTAAGTGTGATTATTAAAGTTTTTATATAAAATAAAACCTAAGCATTATTAGAGGTTAAATAAGCTCTAAATCATTTCATAATTCTATATGTTACTCCATAGTCCCCATCAAATTTTTGGTGTCATTGCCGGGGAAGTATTTTACTTTTTCAAAATTCTCACTATACTATTGAATTAATTGATATATGTTTAACTATCCAATTAATTCAATAATATAGTGAGAATTTTGAAAAAGTAAAATACTTCCCCGGCAATGACACCAAAAATTTGATGGGGACTATGGAGTAACCTATAGAATTATGATATACATATATATATTCTTTTTTATTATATTATATTATTTTATTTTACTTTGACTATTTATATATTTTTTTTTGCATGCTTTATTGTCATAGAAAGGAACTTTTGACATTTGATCCTAAAATTGAGAGAACACTTTCTAAAATTTTGAAAACAAAAAAGATCTTGAAAATGGTTGAACCTAAGTTAGAGTAAAATATTTCTAAACCTTTTAAGGATTATGCACTTTAGTAGAAAGAATTTTTTAGAGTATAAATATACCTCCAATCCCTGCTAAGAATTTTGAATTAAAACCAACTATCATTCAAATGGTTCAAAACTCTCAATTTTGGGGAACTCCTATAGAAGATACCAATTTGCATTTAGCTACTTTTAGAAATTTCTACAACCTTTAGGTACAATGGTGTTAGTGATGATTTTATTAGACTTAAATTGTTTCTTTTTCCTCTAAGAGGTAATGCTAAAATATAGTTGAATTCTTTATCCCTGGTTTCTATAACCATTTGAAATGAATTAGATCATAAGTTTCTTCTAACTATTTTTCACCTTAAAGCACTATAAAACTTAGAAATGACATAGCTTCTTTTACTCAATTTGAAGAAGAATCCATTTATAAGAGTTGGAAAAGATTTAAAGAAATGCTTAGAAAATACCCACATCATGCATTACCAGATTTATTGATTATTCAAACATTTTATAATATTTAGTAGGATCTCTTAGAGCCATAATTGATGTTGCAGCTAAAGGATCATTAATGTATAAGCCATTTTAGGAAGCTTATAAATTAATAGAGGAAGTGAGTACTAATAATTTCTAATAGCCTGTTAATAGGGTAAATACTAAAAAAGTAGCTAAAATTTATAAATCAGATACTTTATCAATTTTGACTACACAAGTTGTTGTAACTTCTAAAACTTTATACAACTTGAAGATTAAAAATAAGGAAAATGGATATGACAACTTCAACATCAATTGAAGAAATGTGGCACCGTAGTGTTATCCTTCATATTTTGTACAAATTTATTAGGAAAGGAATGTGAAAACACCCTTAGAAAGCTTTATTATACAATTAGGATTCCAATAAAAAATTATTCTTTTACTCTTAAAAAAATAGAGGATCGTATACGACAACTTGCTAGGCTGATTAATTACCAAAAAAGTGATGAATAATGTCATAATATCCAACTTAAAGTGGGTAAGATTAGGGAGATCCTTACAAAGATTAAGATTTCACAAAAAGGATGATGGTAAAATTGAGCATGAAAAATGTAAATTTTTAACAGAACAAGTTAAAATTATAAAATAACCTAAATGAGTAATTAGGAGAGTTGAAGAGAGACCACCACCACCTTTCCCTCAGAGATTGATGAAAAAAATCTTGATAAGTAGTTCTTAAAATTTTTAGAAGTTTTTAAAAAACTAACTATTAATATACCCATCTCATAAGCTATAGAACAGATGCCCACTTATGCAAAATCCTTGATGGATATTTTGAACAAGAATAAGAAGCTAGGGGAATTTAAAACCATAGGATTAACTAATGAGTGTAGTGCTACAATCCAAAAGTAACTTCCTAAATAAAGACCCAATGTATTTTTTCATTCCTTTAACTATTGGAGATAAATTCTTTTGCAGGATTTTATGTGATTCGGGATCAAGTATTAACCTTATTCCACTTCTATTTTTAAAAGAGTAGATATTGAAAAGGTTCAACCTACTTCTATTACTCTTTAGCTAGTTGATAGATCTTTCACTTACCCTAGAGGAGTAATAGAATATGTGTTGATTAAAGTTGATAAATTCATCTTTCCTATTGATTTTCTTATTTTATGTGTGGAAGAAGAAATTGAAATATAGCTCATTTAGGGAAGATAGTTTTTAGCCACTAGAAAAGCAATGTTTGATGTGTAAAATGGTGAATTAACTATGATGGTTCAAGATTAGGAAGTAAAATTTGATGTACTTAAAAATGTAAAATTTTATCAAGAGAAGAGAAGAATGAAGATTATTTTAGGGATGATTTAGAAGATACGGTAATTGAGGATCTTAAGGAAGTGTTGTTAAAAGGGGAATTTTTAGAAGAGTAAGAAGTGGAAGAAAATAGAAATAATAAGAGAATTTATCCCGAGGAATGAAAACCTATCCAATAAAAATTTGGCAACATACTCTTTCAAGAATACGTTAAAACTGTCCAGTGAGATAGCCCCTACTTTAGAACTTAAGGCTTTACCTTGTCATCTCAGGTATGCTTTTTTGGGTAAAAACTACACTCTCCTTGTATTTATTTCAACAAAAATAAAATCACATCAAAAAGTGAGGTTATTAAGGTGTTGAGTAATTTTAAAAGTGTTTTAGGTGGACAATTGCTAACTTTAAGGGGATTAGTCCTTTAATTTGCATTCAAAGAATTTTAATGGAAACTAATTTAATAGCCTAAGCCAACCCTCAAAGAAGACTTATCCCTTCTATAAAAGTTGTTATTAAAAAATAGATTCATAAATGGATAGAAGTTAGGATTATTTATCTATTTTAGATAGTTCTCGGGTTATTTCTATTCATTGTGTTCCTAAAAAAGGAGGATTAAGTGCTATAACAAATGAACACAATAATCTTATACCCACTAGAACTATTTTAGGATAGAGGATTTGCATAGGTTATAGAAATTTAAATAAACCCACTAGAAAAGATCATTTTCCTTTGCCTTTTATGGATTAGATGCTAGATAGGTTGGCAGGGCTTTTATTTTATTATTTTATGGATGGAAACTTAGTATATCATCAAATTCCTATTGCTCGTGAAGATCACGATAAAATTTTTTTCACAAGTCCTTATGGAACTTTTGCTTTTAGAAGAATGCCATTTGGTCTGTGCATATCTCCTACTACTTTTTAAAAATGCATGTTGCCTATTTTTTTAAACTTAATTGAGCAGGGTATTAAAATTTTTATTGATGATTTCTTAGTATTTGGTACTATATTTAATTCTTGTCTAAAGCATTTGACTACTATTTTGAAATGATGTATAGAAATAAATCTATTGTTAAATTAGATGAAGTGTCAAATTATTGTAATTGAGGGCATTATCTTAGGGCATAAAGTTTCTAACAAGGGATTGAAAGTAAATATTGTAAAGATTCATGTAATAGAAAAATTATCCCCTCCTAATTCAATTAAAGGCTTTAGAAGTTTTTAGGTCATGTAGGACTTTATAGAAAATTTATTAAAGACCTCTATACAATTTTTAAACCTTTATGTTAACTGTTAGAGAAGGTTGTTCCTTTTATATTTAATTCTTCTTGTCTTGAAGCTTTTAAAGCGATAAAACTACATTTAATTACTGCTCCAGTGATTATTGCTCTTGATGGATCCTTACCTTTGATATTAATATGTGATGCTAATGATATTACTGTGGGTGATGTTTTAGGACAAAAGTAAGATTAAAAATTTCATGCTATTTTTTATGATATCAAAACTTTGAATTCTCCTCAATGTAACTATACAACAATTTAAAAAGAACTATAAGCTGTTATGTTCACTTTTAATAAATTTAGATCATATTTTATCTACATTAAGGTAATTTTTTAGAGTGATCATGCTGCTATCAAATATATTATGACAAAAAAAGACATTAAACCCAGATTGGTAAGATAAATTAGTCTATTACAATAATTTGATGTTGAAATTTTTGATAGAAAGGGCACTAAAAATTAAATTGTTTATAATCTTTCTATACTTTATATTAACAAATATACATTAAATGAGGACCAGATTAATGAAAATTTTCCTGATAAATAGTTATATTCACTTCCTGCAAACAATTTATCTTGGTATGTAAACGTTATTAATTTTATTTTTAGTGGTATACTTCCTTATGATTTAACTCCAAGTAAAAAAAAAAAAAAAATTGCATGATTCAAAATTTTTCTTTGGGGATGAAGCTTACTTATTAAGTATTGCAATGATCAAATTATGAGAAGATGTGTCCCTAAAGAAGAAATATAATCAATCATTAAAGAGTGTCATGATTTGTATTATGGAGGACATATTGGAGTATTTAGAGCTTATTCTTAAATCCTTCGAGCAGGATTCTTTTAGCCTACTTTATTTAAGGCTATAAATGAATATATTAAGAAATGAGTTCCATTTTAAAGAATAGGGAATATTATAAAAGAAAATGAAATGCCTTTGAATTATGTTCTAGAAATATAAATATTTGATATTTGGGGATTAGATTTTATGGGACCTTTTGTGGCATCCTGTTGAAACCAATATATTCTTATTATTGTGGACTATAGTTTAAAGTAGATTGAAGCTGTGGAAATTTCTAAAACTAATGCTCAAATGATGATAAAGTTTTTAAAGGAAAATATTTTCTCAAGATTTGGAATGCCTAGAGTTTTAATCAGTGATCGAGGAAAAATTTTTTGTAATAAAAATAGAAACAATTTTAAAGAAATATGAAGTTTATCATAGAATAAAAACCGATTATCTTCTTTAAACTACTGGTAAGACTAAGATTAGTAATAGGGGAATTAAAAGAATTCTATAAAATGGTCAATTCAAATAAAAAAGATTGGGCGATTAAGTTAGATGATGCATTATGGGCTTAGAGAACTGCTTATAAAACTCTTATTGGTATGACTCCTTATAAATTGATTTATGGTTAAGGCTTGCCACCTTTCTGTGGAATTAGAACACAAGGATTTTCAGGCATTTAAAGAATTGAATTGTAATGTTATAATGGAAAATGAAAAAAGATTAGTGCAGTCGAGTGAACTTGAAGAGATTAGAAACGAAGCTTATGAAAATGCAAGGATTTATAAAGAAAAGGTTAAAAATCGGCATGAAAAAAAAGCTTCATAGGAAAGAATTCATTCATGGACAAGAAGTTTTGCTATTTAATTCCAAACATAAGTTATTCCCTAAAAAATTAAAATCTAGACGATCTGGACCATTCACTATGGTAAAAATATTTCTTTATGGAACTAGGGAAATTAAGGATAAGAAAAGTCTGAACACTTTTAAAGTGAATGGTCACATACTAAAAACTTATGTAGATGGGGATATTGATCGAAAGCAAAATATAGCTAAATTTCTTTATCATGAAAAAAAAAATTGGATAGTCTGGCTGAAGACTTAAAACTTAGCATTTATGGGAAGCAACCCACTTGTTTTGCTAAGCATGGTGCTTAGTGCACTAGTTATCTTGTAACATGTGTTTTGTTATAAATGTTACATTAACACATGTTTTATATTCATGTTATCATTCATATGAAAGCATGTAAAGTGTTAACTATTGTTTGTGCTTCCTTTATTTACATTTCGTTGAAATTCCCTCATGTTTATTATAATTGCTTTTGAATTCTGATTATTTAATTAACCTTAGTAAAAATGATAATTAAAAAATTATGTAAATTAAGATAATAATAAAATCCTATATCATAGTTCAAATGAATACTATTTATACTTCATAGAGTAGAAAAGAAACTAATAATTATTCAACTCAGGTCATTTAAGTTATTATTTTAATTTGAAATTATAAATTATTGCTTTATTTATTAAATTTTGAAATAAAAATGAATAATTATAATTAAAGATTCAATATGAGTAGATTAAAATATGAAATCATAATCAATATGAATTTGGAATTGGTAATCTTATTAAATGC